CACAGACTAGACCAGGGTTTCTCAACTAGGGTTCCTCCAGAGGCTGCCGGGTTCCTTGAGCAATAAGCAATTTCTGCCTCTCAGGCAAGTTCTCACTCACAGACCTTTTTAGGAATCTGTAAGGGGGAAATTCTTCCCAATGACCATAAGTGTAAGGAGCATTCTTACCTATGACTATCAACACTAATGTATCATGAGTCATGATAAAGCAATTTTGAGCACAGGTTCCCCCGAGACCAGAAAGTTATGTCAAGGGTTACTCTTTGTTGAAAAATGTTTAGGATGCATAGAGGGCCCCAAAATCCAATGTGCCATCCAATCCGCCCAGGCGGAGGGAAACAGATCCACATTCCTTTGTTTTTAGTAGATCTGATTGGATGTAGATGGGTGTAAATGGACACATGTCCGTTTACACCCATCACACCAAAGGAGAATGGAGGCTCCAATTGGGTCCACCCAAAAAAACGGACAGGCGGACAAACTGACTGCCTGTATGAAAGGAGCCAAGAAAAAAATAAACAAAATATATACAGGTGAAACGCGAAAAATTAGAATATGGTGCAAAAGTTCATTTATTTCAGTAATGCAACTTAAAGGGTGAAACTAATATATGAGATAGACTCATTACATGCAAAGCAAGATAGTTCAAGCTGTGATTTGTCATAATTGTGATGATTATGGCTTACAGCTCATGAAAATTCCAAATCCACAATCTCAGAAAATTAGAATATTACATGCAATCAATAAAACAAGGATTGTACATAGAACAATATCGGACCTTTGAAAAGTATAAGCATGCATATGTACTCAGTACTTGGTTTGGGCCCCTTTTGCAGCAATTACTGCCTCATGTGCGGCGTGGCATGGAAGCTATCAGCCTGTTGCACTGCTGAGGTGTTATGGAAGACCAGGATGCATCAATAGCGGCCTTCAGCTCTTCTGCATTGTTCGGTCTCATGTCTCATCTATTTCTTGGCAATGTCCCATAGATTCTCTATGAGGTTCAGGTCAGACAAGTTTGTTGGCCAATCAAGCACAGTAATCCCATGGTCATTGAACCAGGTTTTGGTGCTTTTGGCAGTGTGGGCAGGTGCCAAGTCCTGCTGGAAAATGAAGTCAGCATCCCCATAAAGCTCATCTGCGGAAGGAAGCATGAAGTGCTCCAAAATCTCCTGGTAGACGGCTGCGTTGACCCTGAACTTAATGAAGCACAGTGGACCAACACCAGCAGATGACATGGCTCCCCAAATCAACACAGACTGTGGAAACTTCACACTGGACTTCAAGCATCTTGCAGTGTGTGCCTCTCCATTCTTCCTTCATACTCTGGGTCCTTGGTTTCCAAATGAGATGCAAAAGTTGCTCTCATCAGAAAAGAGGACTTTGGACCACTGAGCAACAGACCAGGTCTGTTTTTCTTTAGCCCAGGTAAGACGCTTTTGACGTTGTTTGTTGTTCAGGAGCGGCTTGACAAGAGGAATACGACATTTGAAGCCCATGTCCAGGATCCGTCTGTGTGTGGTGGCTCTTGATGCACTGACTCCAGCCTCAGTCACTCCTTGTGAAAGTCCAAATACTTTTGAATGGCCTTTTCCTGACAATCCTCTCCAGGCTGCGGTCATCCCTGCTGCTTGTGCACCTTTTTCTTCCACACTTTTCCCTTCCACATAACTTTCTATTAATGTACTTTGATACAGCACTTTGGGAACATCCAACTTCTTTTGCAATTACCCTTTGAGGCTTTCCCTCCTTATGGAGGGTGTCAATGATGGTTTTCTGCACAATTGTCAGGTCAGCAGTCTTTCCCATGATTGTGATTCCTACTGAACCAGATTGAGAGACCATTTAAAGGCTCAGGAACCCTTTGCAGGTGTTATGGCTTAATTAGCTGATTAGAGTGGGACACTTTGAGCCGAGAATATTGCACCTTTTCACAATATTCTAATTTTCTGAGATTGTGAATATGGGGTTTTCATGAGCTGTAAGCCATAATCACAATTATGACAAATCACGGCTTGAACTATCTTGCTTTGCATGTAATGAGTCTCTCTCATGTATTAGTTTCACCTTTTAAGTTGCATTACTGAAATAAATGAACTTTTGCACCATATTCTAATTTTTCGAGGTGTGTGTATACACACACTGTATATACATACATATATACACATACACACAGCTCCAAAAAATTAAAGGAACTCCTGAGATATTGTTCTGGTCAGTTAAGTAGCAGAGTGGGTGTTAATCAGTTTCAGCTGCTTTGGTGTTAATGAAATTAACAACAGGTGCACTAGATGGGCAACAAGGCGATGACCCCCAAAACAGGAATGGTTTTACAGGTGGAGGCCACTGACATTTTTTCCCCAACTCATCTTTTATGACTGTTTTTCACTAGCTTTGCATTTGGCTAGGGTCAGTGTCACTACTGGTAGCATGAGGCAATACATGTACCCTACAGAGGTTGCACAGGCAGTCCAACTCCTCCAGGATGGCAGTCTCAAGAGCATGGAGGAGATTCCAGGAGACAGGCAGTTACGCTAGGAGAGCTGGACAGGACCATAAAAGGTCCTTAAGCCATCAGGTCAGGTATCTGCTCCTTTGTGCAAGGAGAAACAGGATGAGCACTGCCAGAGCCCTACAAACTGACCTCTAGCAGGCCACTGGTGTGAATGACTCTGTCCAAACAATCAAAAACAGACTTCGTGAGGGTGGTCTGAAGGCCCAATGATCTCTAGTGCGCCCTGTACCACTGCCCAGCACCATAGAGCTCTGTTGGCATTTGCCACTGAACACCAAAATTAATAAGTCCTTTTCACAGATGAGCAGGTTCACTCTGAGCACGTGACAGACGTGAAAGGGTCTGGAGAAGCCGTGGAGAACTTATTGCTGCCTGTAATATCATTCAGCATGACCGTTTTGGTGGTGGGTCAGTGATGATCTGGGGAGGCATATCAAATGAGGGTCGCACAGACCTCTACAGGCTAGACCAGGGGTGGGCAAACTTTTTGACTTGAGGGCCGGACCAAGAGTAGATGAATGATGTGTATGTGTCATCCATAGTAAGTATAGTAATTAATCCCCCATAGTAATTAATCCCCCATATAGTAATTCATCCCCCACAGTACTATTCCCCCCCAAGTAGTAAGCCAAGTCCCCCCTGTGTCAATTCACTTACCTTTGCTCCGCGCGTTCCTCTCGCCGTGTTCCCGCGCCGTTCCGGTCTTCAGGGCAGACTGTGAGAGGAGCCTAGCTCCCCTCACGTTCGTCACGCTGCCCCGCCTACACACATCCTGACAGCCAATGTATCACGCTCCGCGGGCTGGATAAAAAGGTCCGCGGGCCGTAGTTTGCCCATTGCTGGGCTAGACAATAGCACCCTAACTGCCATTAGCTATCAGGATACCCCAAGCAGCTAGAGCTATTTTCAAACATGGAAACTATTCCTTATAGGACAATGACCACCCTCTTTCTGAATCAGAAATATGAAAAATATCTTATATTTATTGTATAAAACTTGACAACTGCAAAATGGGTTTGAAAGTTCAGCTTTATTATCTTCACCATGAAAAAGTTAACCACAACACTACATGTTTACATTCTAGGACAGAGTGTGGTCAATCTCTATGCTAGAGACCAATAGAGTACAACCAGAAAAAAAAAAAAAAAAAAAAAAAAAAAAAAAAACGCTTCATTTGCGCTGCAAAAAATGCACATGTAGAACATCCTAAAAACGTAAACTCTGTCCCAAAACAATACAAACTATTATTTACAATATGAGAGGCTTGAGACTGCAATTTGATAACTGATTTCTATCGAGTAGTTCATGAATATTTTAAACCAATCTCCTATATAATACAAGAGTTTAAGTGGTAGAAAACCTAAAACCAAAAATGTAACCTATTGCAGTTTACTAACCATTAGACGTGATAGCTGCATCAGTGTTTTTTTTACGCTTTCCCCCCCTCTGTGATTTGACCAGTAACACACCTACTGTTAGAGTGCCCCAAATCTGGAGAAATGAGAACAAGGGCACAGCAGCATTGACAGTCTGAGGGGAGTGTTTGATGTACTAGCAGAATAAACACACTAACAAGCTGAATCCAAACTCCAGCTAATGCTTTAGAATCAGTTATAGCAAACACTTCTTTCCTTTTGGAATAAAAGGTTTTACATGAATAAATGAAAGCTGATCATTGTGATCTCTCCTGCCAGTGTTAAATGGTTTGTGTCATCCCTGTAAACAGATACTGGAAGAGAGCTTGTTCTTTTGAAAAAGACTGTCTGGATCAACAGATGAAAAGGGAAGGAAATTAGAAAGACTTATACAGGGTCCACTTAAGTCTTTTTTCGTTCAACCCAGCGGGCTGAAGGGGGGGGGGAAATAATACCTGGGAGACCACTGTACTAACATAAGTGATAGTGTGGTGATCTACCCTGCTGTGCTATTATATTCTGACAAGAAGGGGGACTCCCCCCACACTGATCAGCGCTGGCAGCCATTGGTTGCCAGTGCTGAATGGATGCCAGTTTTCCAGCATGGCCATGTGACAGAAGATGGTCATAAGACCTGCTTCTGTCAGACAGAGCTGTACACATGGGCCAAACGTCAGCCAATTCCCACTGAAATGCCCGTTTTTGGCCCGTGTACCCAGCTTTATAAAGAAAACAAATGCAGCCACATCTAAGAATCAATAAGCTGCTATATAACAAAATGTAGCTTTCGCGTTTAATACCGCTCTAAATCACTGTACTAGGAAACAGCGGAAGGAAGAGCTTCTTGAAGCACCAAAGTTCTCTGGTGCTAGAAGAAACATGCAAGAAAAAAAAATGATATACTTTTTGTATTTACATAGCTTATACTCTTCCTTACCAAACTAACTGGTACAGAACAGTAAGAAGGAACTCCTTCAAATGAACCATCAAATTGTATGCCTATGGTTATAGACTTAAGAGGCTCAGTCCTAAAACAAAAGTATATCAAACTTTTTTCACACTATAGGCTATTATGGGGAGGTAGAACGAGATCTGGAACTGGAAGCAGAGGCTGGGCGTGGAGGAGGAGAAGCAGAGCCCTCTCTGCTGGCAGAGGCTCCCATTGGTGATTGGGACCTGGATCTGGCATCTTCCTTTCCATTTTCTTGTGGAGAAGGAGATCTGGAACGGCTGTGGGAAGACCTTTCCCGCTTAGTAGCTGAATGGCTTCGGGAACGATCCCTTCTGCTTCTGGAACGACTACGGGAACGTTCATGGTCCCCTTTGGACTGACTTCTGGATCTCTCTCTAGACCCCTCCCTGTCTCCCTTTGACTGACTGCGGGATCTGTCCCTGGATCTTTTTTCCTTGGACTGACTACGTGACCTCTCTCTAGACACATCCCTTCTTCCTTTAGACTGCTCCCTCCTTCCTTTAGAACGACTACGAGACCGCTTGCTCTTTGATCGGCTGCTGGAGCGATCACGCTGTCCTTTACTGCGGCTGCTAGACCTCTCACGTTTTGCTTTGGGTCGGCTGCCGGAGCGATCACGTTTCCCTTTAGATCGGCTTCTGGACCTCTTACGCTTTCCTTTGGACCTGCTTCGAGATCGGGATCCGTGCTCTGACTTGGGTTTACTCTTTGAACGAGACTCTCTCTGCTTTGATGGTGATCTTGAGTGTTCTTTGCTCCTGGACCTGGACCTATAATAAAGCACAGCATAGTAATATATATAAGGGGGAGGGGGGGGGGGGACCTACATCAGAAGACAGTCATCCTGCCACATATACTTAAAGCATGCCAGGGAGAGAGATTTATTCATCTACAGCCACGAAAGGGGCTAGAGGTTTAGTTACGCCAGTTTTCTCAGTAGACAAGTTAAACTTTAGTTCTTAGTCTGTACATGTCCAAATATTGTGTTCATAGTGCTACCATTACTTGCCTGGCTATAATACTTTTGTAGCACAGACCCAAACATGCATGCTGTAAAACAAGGATTAGGACTATACCTGCTTCTTGTTAATGACTGAAGTCTGAGCTTCAATAAGACGGGCAGGGTTAATTACATTTCCCAAAATTGAAAAGAGCGGAAATTTGGTTTGCAATATAAAAAGAACCTTACCTTGACTGACTCTTGGCAGGTGAGTGGGAACGACTGCGTTTTTCTGGAGAACGAGAACGACTTTCTTTAGCTGGGGAACGGGATTGACTATTCTTAGCAGGAGATCTGGAATGGCTCTTGGCTGGTGAATGAGACCTGCTCCGCTTTTCTGGTGAACGGGAACGAGTCTTTTTAGCAGGTGAATGAGAATGACTTCTGGATCGGCTGTGGCTACTGCGTCTACTCCTACTACGAGATCTTCGCCTGCTCCTGGATCGAGACCTAAGGAGAGCAATGCATTTCATAATCATGCACATTTGTATCAAGCTAATAAACAGTCTCTAATAAACTGGATCTGAAATCAAAGTGACTTGCAATTTTAGAGGGCACATCTACAAATCAAAATTGTACCTAGGCTGCACTTTGAAAAAAAAAAAAAAAAAAAAGTCTCTCATATGGACTCCTATTAAAGCAAATAACAGTGAACTTTCTGCATCTCAGTGCTCCTGTGCATGGAGTCACATAGCTGCACTTCTACAGTATGAGATCACACAAGGGGACTGCTGCCTCTGACTGCTAGTGTCTCAAGATTTACAGTGAAATTTGATTATGTCACTACTATGCTGCTCACCTCTGCTTCCTGGAGGGGAAGCTATACCTGAGGACCTGCAGTGCAAGAATATCCCTACTTTTGCTCTGTTCATTCTGTGAAACTCTTCTCAATTACCATGGTTTCTTGAATATTTCCCTATCAGTCACCACATTACTAGTCATCAGGTGAGGCAGCTGAAATGAAGAAAGCCGGTTTCTACCGAGACTAACACCAAACAGTGCAGAATAGGGCAAGGTAAGTCAGTAGAGGGGGGGAAACAGCTGTAGGGAGATCACAGGTAATATTGGCGACTAGTCCTTTCTTCGACAACTTGCACAGTACAGGTCCTCTAAACCAAATCTGTTAACCTAAAAACAAAAGCGGACAGATTTTTATGACAGAAGAGGCCCCTTTTGTTTCTTCTAATCTCTCTCTTAGCCTGTCAGCATTTAAACTGCCCCCGCATGGCACGTTCAGCATAAATTCACGACAAGGCTATGTGCCAACACTTCTGAACTCCTGTACACATTTTCAGAAGTTACACCATCCAGGCTCAACCAATTAAGTGACTGAACAGCCAGAATCCGGAATGAAGACCAGGAGAAGATGGAAGCACCTGCACCGGACACCACAGAACTAAAACTGAATCGCTTGCAGGGCAAGTCCGCAATGGTGTGTTAATACACTGCACTTATTAGCACATTTTGACTAAAAACTCCTGAGGTGCCAATTTTTCTTTGCAGAGGTTTAATGCTGCTTTAAATATCAGTTTATCACCAGTTACTAAATTAATTTGCAAGAAAATATTTTCAGTTACAAAGGCTAAGGTTAGCAGCAGGGAGATGCTTGCTTTGCTTGAAGAAAATACTGGTGTCCTAAGGTAGAAAGGAATGTCCAGCCAGAAACATTTCAAAATCTGAACGAATTCTGATAGATAACAGCACCCTTACATCAAAGTGACAGGATATCTGATCGCAATGAATAAGATCCCAGCATGCAATTTTAGCAGACACAAACACAACTCCGTTCTCCAAAAAAAAAAACAATCTGATTTAAAAAGTATCATGTGTACTATACAATCTCTATTGAATCTTGTTCTTGCACTTACCTTGACCTGCTGCCAGAGTAAGACCTCCTGTGACGAGCTTTGCTTTCCACTAGACGAATCTTCCGGCCATTAATTTCAGTGCCATCAAGTTTGTCCAAAGCTCTCTTCATGTCAGAATAGGACCTGAACTCTATGACTCCCTCATTGGTACGTTCCTTGTGTGCATCAGCATATGTAACCTCACCTGCTTGCCTCATAAAATCCTAAAAAGAAGTAAGGAAACTTTGAAATACCAATTTGAAAAATTCAGATATTTTAAAAGCAAAATTTAGGCCACAACTTGCTTCCAACTTTAGGTAGATTGGGTTAGATTTTCTGCTAGATTTTCATTACTGTCAGGGTTGGAGATCTCCCTTCACTGCCTAGGTGACCTCTGAAGTTACATGATTTGCAATACAAGGGATCACAGAACCGGCAGAGAAAGCAAATGTTCATAAGTGATACCTTTCAACGGCCGGGTAAAAACAAGAAAATGGCAAACATTGATCCAATCAGAACACCAGTAAACATAAGTCACTTCTCACAACCATGCTGTACATCTGCTCAGATAGTATGAAATTCATATGAACTGCTTTATACTGCATCTGACAAGATTTTCCCTCCTCCTCTAACTGCATATATTGTTGTACCTGACAAATACAATTATTTCCTTTTAACTAAGCTATACATTAAATGGTGCAATTCCTTAGCATTCTCGGAAATAAATCCTGCAATATATGACCATTTCTCAAGAATCCCTGCAAAAATGATTATGACTGAAATAGTTAAAAATCAGACATTTATACAAATAGAAAGGTTAAACGCTTATGAGATGTGACAAATGCTTCAATTAGTCCACTTTAGTGTGGAATCCACTCATTTGTACCCACCAGATACTACTGTTAGTGCCAGAACAACTTGCATTCTCTGAACAAAATTTAACGGATAAATTCACCTTTGGAACATGTTACAGGTTTAGTGTGCAACATACAAGTTCCAGTACCGGCCCCTCTTACCCCCCTCCCCCGTGATAGCGGGCAGGAGTTACTCTCCCCCCCAGTCACTCACATTTAAAAAGTATAGCTCTGTGAATGAAGAAACTACATGTCCTGTCTGCCACGTAGTCCTTTGAAAACTACAAGTAGTCTGCTGCAGTGGTAGACAGAACATGTAGTTTCATTTACAGATTGCAGAGCTATACTCCTTTCGAATGTGACAGTGGCTGTGGGGGAGAGCAACTCCTGCCCGCTGTTGAGCACCCTCGTAGTCCACAGACACATCCTCCAGCTTTCAAACTGAAAGCCTGTACAGAGATAAGGGCAGAAGAACTGGAAGATTGCACCGCAATTCACTGATGACGAGTACAATAGTTTGCAGGCTCCTGTAGGAAAAATGGATAGAGAGAAAACAGGTGGCGCACACACCTAGTGCATTATCCAAGGTTTATTGTAGGAATGAAATAATAAAACATACTCACAGGCGAAGCATGTATCTAAAAAGCATAGAAAAATGACAATGGCCACAACGGCGGGCAAGGTGTTCTCACTGTCAGTGCGGTCAAATGGCTGACAGTGAGAACACCTTGCCCGCCGTTGTGGCCATTGTCATTTTTCTATGCTTTTTAGATACATGCTTCGTCTGTGAGTATGTTTTTATTATTCTTTCACTCCTACAATAAACCTTGGATAATGCACTAGGTGTGTGCGCCACCTGTCTTCTCTCTATCCAGTGGCTGATTTCCCCATCTGAGGAGGGCTGCACCCCTGGAACATTTCCTTTGGTTGTCGCTGTCCTGGTACCCTTGGCTTCCCTTTTGGCTGTGCATATCCTGAGGCGCTGGAGAGTACATACGATATCCTGTAAGAAAAATTACTGCACATTTATTTTCCTGCAAAAAATATGTGCAACAATTTTTTCCGAAAGTTGAACTTCTACTTTAAGGCATTTCAAAATAGACAAAGTGAGATACTGTCAATTACCTGCCCCTCTCCTCCCTTGCCCATTCATTGAACTTGCATTCTCTAAACAGAATTCAAGGCAATTTGTGAATGGACGAGGACAGAGTGCACAGACAGTAGTATCTGGTGAGTGCAAGTCAATGAATTCTAGACTGAACTGGACCAAGTGTAGCATTCAACACCTCACAAGACGTAGCTTATTTGTCCCTTATTAAAATGGTTCTAAAGGCTCATGTTTTTTTTTTTTCCTTTAACTGCACGCATTCTACAGATGAAGGTAAAAACCCTTGTGTGTAGCAACCCCCCCAGCCTCCCCTGCACTTATCCGTGATGTACACGAGAATCGATTCTCCGGGGACTCTTGCTCCTGGTTGGCTGAGTCAATCAGTAGAGGAAGGGGGCGGGGCCAAGCCACAGCTGTGTTTGTGACTGGACATGCAGAGCTGCAGCTTGGGAGTGCACTTGATTGGGTGGCCCCATAGCAAACGGTTTGCTGTGAGGGCACCCGACAGGAGGAGGATCCGGGCTGCCCTGTGCAAAACCACACACAGCAGGTAAGTATAGACAAGTTTTGTTTAAAAAAAACAAAACAAAGCGTTAAGTATCACTTAATTTGTGTAAATGCTTGCGGCTGTTCAGCTTTAACTTAAAAGTTCAACTAAAGGACAAACTTATTTTATTATTTTTAGTTGTGGACAGAGTGGAGATGGATTGGAACACCTATCAACTTTTATTGTTATCTGCGCCCTTGTTAGGGAGCCTAAACCTCTTGATTTATCCTGTTTACCATTATCGAAAGTGAAGGTAAAATAAAATCCCACATTTTGGGTTGTGCCCAGAAAAGCAACAGAGGGGAAAACTTCTAATGGAGACACTAGGTCTGGTGTCCCCCAAAGGATTCCCCAATTTGAAGGGATTTACTCATTTCCTGTTTCAGCTGTGGGACAGGAAGTGAAAGTAAATCTCCCCAATGGGACACCGAGGGCTAAAAAAACTGACAGGGGTTATGACCCTCCCATATGCAATCAAAAATGAAAAGTTTTGCCTATAGTTTAACTTTAAGAATGTAACAATTTAGCTAATGAAATAAACTTGGCCAATCAGGGATCACATGAATCGAAACCTCACACAGAGGTCCCGTACAGCGATCGGTGTTCTGCTGTGTCCTCCAGACACAGCGAGCACGGATCGCGTTGCCGCACGCTCCCAGGCAGTGAATGCGGGGGACAGTTTATAAACGGCCACCTGCTTCGGCATTGCTCCCGTCCGGCCGTTTATCTACATGGGCCGGATGGGAAGTGATTAACCCCCCTAGCGGTATGATTATTTCATATTTTTTGTGCTGAAAGCGGTACCATTATTTTGCATGGAAATATGTAGTTTTTTTATTGTAGGCTGTAATTTTTAGGAATAACTCACTGAAATCTGTCCGAACAAGAGTCTAAATCATACATTTAATTCAATAATATAATCAAACCAAAAACACTGAAATTTGAAATATAGCGCCAAGTTTGCACATTGCTGAGCAAAGTCGCAAAATCGTTTTCAGTGTCTGATGACGAATTTCTCCACGAATCATTATCACTCAATTCTGCAAGTGGTTCTGATTTACTATCGCTGTTCTCTAGCTGGTCTAAACCCGCTTTTGACGTAAAGGTACGCTTTTTGGACGCCATGGACTTTTCTAAGTTTCCAGGCAGAAAGAACAATCAAAATGCAGACAGGGGACAGGACAGAGCAGTAGGGACAAAATATATGTGAAATGGGTTGAAACAGCAATGTTTTACTATGTAAAATCATTTTGAAAAAAAATGACATTTTTTTAAAATTTTCAAATTTCCCGCCGGCGGCGGCGCCCGTACGTCCCGACATCACGGGGACCGGAACACAGGAGGCGGATGCCGGCATCAGATGGAGGAGATGGTCGGGGACGCTGCAGGGGACACATCGCGGGAGCCAAGGACAAGTTAAGTGCTGCAGGGACTCCCTATGCAGCGCCGCATGGTAAGCCCGAGTGTAGCTCGGGGTTACCACTTTTGGTATAGACATTTTACCCCGAGCTACACTCGGGAATACCGCTAGGGAGGTTAAGGAACAAACTAAAAATCTATCCACAGCAGTCTAAATGTGTAACTATAAATGAAGCGTGCTTTGTGTGCTAATTTTCCTCTTGAAGAGGACAGCAATACCAACCTTAAGATCTTGCCAACTGCAGCGACTGGAGAGGTTCTCCACGATAAGTCTAAACTCTGTGCGCACTGGAGGTCCATATTTATCCCTGCCGGATCTCTGACTCCTGTAACCACCTTTGTTGCACATGGAAAGCAAAGTCAGGTCTTCATTGAATATTTACAGTTCAACAACTAAATCTTTTTGGGAGGGCTTTAAATAAAACTAGGTAGGATAGGATATATTTTACATAAAAACCTCCTTTGAAGCCGTGACTTTGGCCAATAATAAGCAGAAGAAACATTTACTCCTTTGCTCTGCTGTTTTAAGAAGGAGCCTGTTTAGTGAGTGCCCTCAACCAAACTTATCAACAGGACATAAATTATGACATAACAAAGTTTAACTTATGTACATGCATGTTCTACAAAGAATTTACAAGTTTTGCCAGTCACATTATTTATATTAAGGCAGGAGGTATAAGAAAAGTGGTACTTGGAAGCACACGCAAGGGAGTCACCTAATCCAGTTTAAAGCCGTTTCATCTAACCCTTTTAATCCTCACCATCACCCTGCGTCTAATGGCAATAGGCTGCTGTCGTCATGGCTTCCGGTAAGGTCAGCCAAAGGGTCATAGGGCAAGGGTCACACAATGTTTGGAAAGGCCAACCAGGAAAGGCAGTCATCTTAAGCCTCAATGGTCTCAGCCCCCACTGGTCTCTTTCAAATTGAAACATCAAGGACGGTTAAAAAAGGATTTTGGAATTCGACATGCAAAAAGGTTAAGAATATACAAGTTAAACATAACAATCATAATACAAGCAGTTTGCATAAAACTCTACTTCACCATAAAAACCAAATCATAACCGCTGTGTTTTTCCACCCACCCCCCACTTTCTAATGCTTTTCTTTGAAAAAAGAAACCTGTGCTGCCAGAGGTGTAAAACCACCGCCAACACCACAGGATCAATCACTGCATCATTTCACATGTTTTTAAAGACACTTTGGCTAAAACTGAAAAAGACCGTGTCTGCAGGTAGCCCCAGCCCCCTCCAGTATAAAGGCTACTTTCACACTGATCCGCAGCAAAAACACATCTGTGGTTTTGCCCCGTTTTACCACGTTTGCGGTGCGTTTTTTTCTTACAGGACATAGGCTAAAAAAACCGCACCAAACACGCAATGCAGGTGCGTTTTTGACATATTTTTCATGGACTTCAATGGGGAGGTGCGTTTTTTTTCCCTCTGCACCAAGCAGGATAAAAAAAAAAAAAAAACCGGACCCGCAGCAGATCAGTGTGAAGTTTCATAAAAATACATGGTCACATTTTTCTTTCACGCAAAAGTGGAACAAAAACGGATCAGTGTGAAAGCAGCCTTAAGACTCCAGCACCACCGGATTTCATGTTCATTAGACTTCTGGGAAGTCGTGCTCGGATTGAGCTTCCAACTACCAGACTCAAATGCAGTCACATGGGGTGAAGGTAGGTGCAATAATATCCCCCTATCGAAACTCCGACACCCAGCTGTCAGAGTTTGAACAGGCAGGGATGCTGTAGCAGGAGGTAGAAAGGGAGCACAACTACGTGTAAAAGATGGATGGGATGCTATCCGCAAACACCGTCACTTTGCCATTATTTGGCAAGTTATGGTTTATCATTAAAATGTATCTAAAGCCAATTTATTTTGAATAGTATTCGATTGTTTGGAACCAGGTTTTGCAGACTGTACCTGCTTAGAAAATGCAGTTCCAGTTCCCCTGGACACTAACGTCACCAGGCGTGAAAGGAGCCAAAACATAAAAATTGAGCCGTCAATAGGCAAGGAGAAATCTTTTAATTAGGGTACCAGTTCCATGACACCTAACCAAATATATGGAGAGATTTCCTCTCACTTTCTGCTCTTTTTACAAGACAGACCAGCAAGCAGTGAAGGGAAATTTCCCCAATGGGACAGACTGGGGAAAAAAAACAAAACAAAACAAAAAAAAACACAAAAGGATCCAACACTACTCTATTCAAAATGTGAAAAGTTTTGGCTTTAGATATACCGAAAAGTTCAAAAAGCATATATACTACTTTGAAAAGCATGTAATGAAAAGCAGCACACAGTAAACATTTGGACAGAAACTTTGCCTGTCAAACCAGCTACCACTGAAGCAGTATTGTGATATTCTGCATCTTAAATGCAAAAGAACCTACAGATTATGAAGTATATTGGACTGGAGTTCATTTGCATTGCAGAATGCCAAATCTGGGTAGCAGCGCACACAGTGCAGATTAACATAGGTTTCACTCAAAGTGGGAGTGCACTTTACCCAGCTAATCTGCAGCAATGACAAAATAAAAAAGCATAAGCCAACAAGGTGAAGCAAACTGCATTTTATTCTTCACAGCATATGAAAAGCACAACAATGTTTACTTTGATCTACAATACTTTAAAAACAAAAAAAATATTCCAAATATTATCTGGTAAACTCCAAACTAGTTCAATTATTTGGAACTGTATTAAAATATATCTAAAAGCAAACTTTTTTTTGTTTGTTTGGATAGAGAGGGATTAGAACACCTTTTTATGGTGGCTGTGCCCATGTTAGTTCGATTCATCCTCCATTTGTCCTGGTGACCATTCTCACTGAACGTGAAAGAAAATCAACTTTGGGTTGTCACCAGAACCGGAATAGAGGGAAACCTTCAAATGGGAACCAAAAGTTCTGGTGACCCTGGTCACAAAAAGGGATTCCCTCCACTTGAGGGATATCCACACTTCCTGTTTTGGCTACCAGACAGCAAGTGAAGGGAAATCTCCACAATGGGACACAAATGTCCAGAAATATTAAAGGGGGTATTAAACAGGCCCCCTACTCTATCCAAAATGAAAAAAAAAAGTTTCGCCTTTAGTTCTACTTTAAATGTTGTATCAAAGGTTTAAAAGCACAAATTATACGAGATACAGCCCTTTACAGATTACAGAATTAGAAAGACCTGTTTATCAGTTTTTTATGTGCGGTTAGCAAGTATCTGCTAGTTGAGTATTTCAAAAAAGTAGATTAGTAGCCAACCTTTAATTTAAAGATGACTTCAACTGCTATGGTAAGCTAAAGATTCCTTTATGCTGGATGATCTGACTATTTACAGCCTCTCTAGCTTGGATATCTGGCAAAGCAACAGCTCAACCTGATCATTACTCAATAGTTCAATCCCCAAACGCTGCCGCCAAAATAGGTAATGCTTACTGCGATTTCCAAAACTGTATCCTTCCCTGTCCCGTCGAGGTCCTCGGGCATGTTCAACAATCACACGCTCCCCACACAGGTCTTTCCCATTTAACTCGTACACGGCATCGTCAGCATCACGCGAGTCTTCAAACTCTACAAACCCATACCTGAAAAAAATAAATAAAAAAAGGATCAATTTTAGGCTTAACCTGTTAAATCTCAAACTGATGACAATGACTACTAATAAAGTACTGCCAATGGCATGTCAAAGCCCAACTACAGTGAGGTAAAAAGTCTACATTGACCACCCGCCTCTAACAAGCCTCAATCTCAGTTTATGTTTCTAACATCCAATACCTTAATTCACAGTCCCAGGATCTTTCTCCCCACTGATGATTCTGGAAACCGTTCCTTGGCTACTCGTTACCCACTAATCAAAATCATCCTTAGTGAAGGACCAGCATCCTTGTAATCAGGATAAACTGTGGTCACGGTTAGACGTGCCTGCCCGGACTGCAGTGCTCAAGAGTGGAAGACTGGTGTGGCAGATGAGGGTGAACACCGGATGTTCGAACCCTTATAAAAAGCAAAACATAAGGAGAGGCAATCTTGATTTTTTATCATCGTACCTGACCATTGTCCAGCTTTAAATCCCACTGTTTATAGCCAGTTCAGCTGCAGCCATTTTCATCTATTTGTACAGTTACAAGTGACAAACTGCCTGTCTTTGATTTTAGTATAACTTATTAGTGGGAAAATGTTGTTTCTCATGGGGAAATCTCTGCAGCCAATAGTGTTTACAGACAGCAGCAGGAGGTAAAGCACGCCGTCAGTTTGTACAATGCAGCTGCGCCATCTTATCAAATCTTTCCTCCAGTGACAGCCAAGTATTCTTACTTGCTACTTTACATGCAGATGAATAAAGCTGGGCTCACATGTACAGTTGTCTCATTCAACCAGTGGATTGAAGGAAAAATACTGACAGATCCACGAATCAACACAAGCAATGTAGATGCAAGAGTCTCTTCTGTTCTATTGTATTCTCACAAGGAAGACATCTGCCCCCCTTCCCCATCAGAATACACAGACCAGCGCTTGCAGCCACTAGGTTTATTGCAGCCACTGGGTGTTCTGGGTGTGATTGTTCTGCAGACAGGTCTAAAGATGGCTTTAGGCAGAAAATGTAATAGCAATAAGGTATGAACAAAGTTTTTAAAAACAGAAGTGACCAAAAATTTTTAAAGCGCCCTCCACCCAATAAATGTAAACACATAAATCAAGTGCAGTTATGTATGAAAATTAAGATCGTGTCACACCGCCCACACTGCCAGGCCACACCGCCCACACTGCCAGGCCACACCGCCCCACTGCCAGGCCACACCGCCCACACTGCCAGGCCACACCGCCCACACTGCCAGGCCACTGCCGCCCACACGCCAGGCCACACCGCCCCACACTGCCAGGCCACACCGCCCACACTGCCAGGCCACACCGCCCACACTGCCAGGCCACACCGCCCACACTGCCAGGCCACACCGCCCACACTGCCAGGCCACACCGCCCACACTGCCAGGCCACACCGTCCACACTGCCAGGCCACACCGTCCACACTGCCAGGCCACACCGTCCACACTGCCAGGCCACACCGTCCACACTGCCATGCCACACACCGTCCACACTGCCATGCCACACCGTCCACACTGCCATGCCACACCGTCCACACTGCCATGCCACACCGTCCACACTGCCATGCCACACCGTCCACACTGCCATGCCACACCGTCCACACTGCCATGCCACACCGTCCACACTGCCATGCCACACCGTCCACACTGCCATGCCACACCGTCCACACTGCCATGCCACACCGTCCACACTGCCATGCCACACCGTCACACTGCCATGCCACACCGTCCACACTGCCATGCCACACCGTC